ACAAAGATAAAGTAAGAGTGATAAAAATATTAAACAAAATTTCCTTCACCAGGCCAAGCCTTGGTTGTTATAGAAGAAAGATATAATTAATGTTTATCTCCTAGATGGTTTTAGCTATCTAGGTTTGATCGTCTAGAGCCATCACACAATCATACCCAATATGTCATGGAACCTAGATACTTATTGTTGTAAATAAAATTCCCATTGTGAAGAACAATAGCATGATGACAACTGCCAAGATTTTCTTTCCTGAACATCTTAAAATATATTTCTTGTATTGATTTTTTTGTTAAAAAAAAAAGTTTAACTGTTGATAATTTTCTACTTATTCTATCATTGACATTGTGGGTACAGCTTCAACTAACATATTTTGGGGCCAAACTTCTCTCCTATATCCCTTACATTTTTATTTTCCTGGTATTGTAGTTTATCATGTTAAATTTTTTCACTGTTTTGATGTTGTTTGTGGAAATGATTTAATAGCGGTCGCTGCAAGAGGAGGGATGGAGACTTTGAGGCCTGCTTTACAGAAGTTGTACATGACAAGGGCTTCTTCATATAGAGATGCTCTCAAGAGTTTTATAGATGGATACCAAGAAGGAATCCAGCAGGTCATGGCGAAAAAGGAAGTTTCTAAAACCCAACAGGAAGGCAATACCCTGAAAACTTCCACTTAACCACTGATGGATGCATAAAAGGCAATGCACAGGAGTACTTCTCCAATACACCTATTGTTGATAAAATTTTAGAGCTTCAGTGGAGCTGGGTTGGCATGAAATCACAAGTATGATCCATGTCCTGGGGAAGTTTGCTGTATTGTGAAAGTAAATTAAAAAACTATGACTATAATGGAAATGTTCTGTATATAACTATGCCTCATTAGACTAGTTCTGCATTGCTGGTGCTGAAGCTTTTCCTTTCTTCTGAATGAGTCTAGCAAATTGGAATGCAGGATTTTTTGATGTTTCATGCATGTATGTTTTCGGTTTAGTTTAGCATTTAACATTCTTGTGAGAAATGTAAAGGAACCATTATGCCTTATCTCTTTGTTAAGTGCAAAGCAAAACCAGCTGCTTGAAGGAGTCACTTTGCATGCAATACTTAATTTAGGCGTTTGTTTTCAAGAACCAATCTTGAATGAGCTGCTTAAACACTGAAGGAACCAGATACATGTCTTGACTGCGAAGGAAAAAGTGTTGATCTAGTCTTATTGCAAGTCATATTAACTAAGAAAATGCATCATGTAAGCATGTACGCTCAAAAAACCTTCAATTTTACTGTTATGAACTTCTTTGTCTGTTTGTTTTTGTTGGAATGAGAGTAGGACATTCTTTCTTCATATGGATTGATAGCAGGGGTGCTTTAGTTTTTGCTTCTCTGACGTGGGGATCTTTTCTGGCCTCTCCAAAGGATTCTTAGGAATCTGCTGGGATGAAACATTCAGTGTACAATCTGTTTAAGATTTAAGTAGATACTGCTGGACTTTGCTTTTAGCTTTTCTGGAAAGGCTTGTATGTGGAAAACAGTTTTTGTGTCAAATTTGCAATAGTAAATGTCTGAAGTACATTGCATAGAGTAGAGAGGGAAAGAGAGTTTTGAAAACGACTTGCACAATATAAATGGCTGAGTGGAAATGGGGGCTCCAGAATTAGAGGTTGATACAGAATTGAAATTCCAGTTAAGCTTGCACTAATAATAAGTTGGAACATTATTGTGAGATACCAGTTGTTCCGAATACTTTGTGCAAGAAATCTGTTACTCTGTCAAGTGATACCGATGGTGGGGCTATTGTACACCAGTCGTTGCCTGGTGAATTGTTTTGCTTTGAACCCTTCCAATATGCTTTTAAGTCTTCAGGGAAGCTTTTGTGAGATTCATCTAGAAAGTATCTATTTCCTCAGCAATTTGGGGATGGCGCTTTATTTGGCTTCAAGATCTATTTTACTGGAGATTGTGGATGTTCTGGTGCTAGACAAACCTCTGTTTTTAAGGTATGGGTTTTGATGGTTCTAATTTTTTTAAGATATGTAATTTCCTATGTACTTTTGTTTTTTCTTCTAAATTCTAAAATTTCAAGCATACAATTATTACAAAATCTAGTGACCTCTTGATATCTTGATGTTGTCAATGTTGCTTTGAACACTATTGATTTGGTTTTATTCCTCAGGGGATTTTAGTGAGGGAAAATTAGCTCTTTTTTCTGTGGCAGATGTTTAGAGAATGGAAGATGAGGTTGACCTAGCTCCAAAAGCAAAAGGTCTGATAAGAGGAAAAGCTAAGTGGGACAAAGAAATATTCTCATGTTCTTACTATATTTGTACTGTACTTAGTCATGCATGATTGAATTATTCTTGCAGGACAAACCCATTATACAGGAGGAGTCCCTTCAATGTCCTGATTGGCCACCACCCTGAGGCCAATGATAACAATATCTGGTGATCCTCCCACTTGCAGAGCCACTAAACTTTGGAGGCCATTTCCAGTGGAGGTCAATGGGTAACTCTCTTGTCTGAATCCTTATGGGCCCTAATGATCAATTGACACTTTATCTGATAGTCACAAAAGCAATGTAAAGATATCTGTGTATCTTGTTACCAAATTCATCTGCCTGTGTTAGTATCTCTTAGTTAACCTGGAAGGTCTTTCAAACATGTGCGTGCAAGCTAGAATCCTGTAGCCATTATTTCATACTGAGTGATGTGTGGTCCAAGCTTCATTTAAGTACTTAGGTCGTGAAAAGCTTTGTCTAATTACTGCACTGCATGCCTAATCAAAAGCATTCATTCAAGGGTCACATTATCGATTTTTGTCAATGGAATGCCCCATTTCAAACTCAGTTGACGATTAGTGAGTTTACTAACACTGTTGGGCTTAATGGTTTTATTCATATCTTAAAACTATACTAATCCATCAGCATGCTCTGAGCTGTTTGCATGATTGAATTGTTAAAAACATTCATTAAATGTTTCTGATTCAATGGTTAAGTATGAGTGGCCTAAAGCTTAGATTGTAGGCCTTACAAGGTTACTGATTAGCTAAGATACCATAGGTAAGAACCTTATCTCTTATCCAGCTGGTGGATTCAGCCAAAAACAGGTGGCATCTTAATCTTAAAATGACCTGTGACTTTAAATTGCGGTGTCGCCAATTTGAGGCTCTGTTGCAGTTTATGGTGGTTCAAGGTGTTGTTTTAGAAAACTGGTAAGATATCGAAAGATGAATATATTTGATGAATTCACTAAATGTACAAATCAATGGTAGACCAGGACTTCTTAATCTGAAACCATGGAGGTCAAAGCCAATAAAGTGTGATACAGATGTCTGACAGGGCTTTTGATTGCATGTTACCTTCTACAGTTATGAGAATCTAACTAATTGTGGTTTTGTTTTCTCTTGAGAGATCACGCCCCAACTAGCATTTAATAAATATTTCCTTTATTTTAATTATTATCTATGGTAGGTGAAAGATTGCTTAGATTTAGCAGAAATAATTTGCCATAATAGGCATGCTGAGACTGTTAATTCCATAGTTGTTTCTTTTTTGAAAGCTTATTGCTTGCGGCCAGATCATTTATAACTCATTTATTATGCATTGCATAGGTGTTCTTTTTCATAAAAATTTTATGTTTTTCTTTAGAAGTTGAGCTTGGAAGGATGGCGAGGTTGTTCCTTGACCTTGGAGATAACATTCAGATACTCTTGTGTTTCTCATTTCTATCTAACCTTTCCATTTATTATATGTTCCTTATTGCTGGCCATGCTTCCCATTTCTGTTTGTCAGCTTGGCTCCTTCTGTCATCAGACACCTGAGTGATTAAAACATATCAGAGGGATGTTTTTGCAAGTTGAGTAAGATATGCAGCTCTATTTTGGAGCTAGGCTTAACCCTTAAAGGTTCTTAATCTTTAAGATGCTGATGCTGAGCTGAGCTTGATTCTGAGCAATCTATATGCCCAAATTGAACAGGACAGTTTTTGTCCTTTTGATGTTTGACGAGAATGATCAAGTGAAAGGGTGGGGGCAAAGGCAGAAAGCTGATGGTAATCGGAAAAAAGATAGGATAACTACTATCTTGTTATACATCCTATAAAATATATTCTGATAGGTTTATTGCCATTATGTATATAATCAAATAACTTATTTGTGAGAAAGCCACTCGAAGTAACAACACTGAATTGCTTTGCCGAGTTAACATTGGACCAGATCATTACTCCTCAAGGCTATATGGCTTAATACCCAATTGAAGCAACTTTTTGAGTCATTTTCCCCATCATCCATTCAGATGTGAAACTCAAACTAGGGGAAGAAAGGAAGGGGCCTGATAAGAATGGAACCCTATGCTATAATAGCTATTTTACTACTTTGATTATTCTTTATGACATATTCTCTCTAATTTCACTTCAACGTTTCCCGCAAGTTGCCATATTTGCATTATCTGTTCAAGGGACCATTTTTTTTTTCTTTTGGAATTAATTTTTAGGTTTTCCTTTTGACTTCATGATCTTCTCTGCCTTCTGGGATGCAACAAAAATTACAGAGAATGGAGTCCTTGAGGAGAAAAAGAATACGAAAATGCTATCTATTCCTAAAGCTTCATATCTGCAACTTGCAGTAGTAGAGCATCAAAAAACAGCTTTGGCTTACATCTACATGGGACTTAGATACTAGTAAAGATAGAGAGAGAGAGAGAGAGAGAGGGTGGCTTGCTGGTTCCACATGGCTGTCATCCATCAATTCAAGACCCCCACCCACCACCACCACCACCACCATACCCATCCATTATTATGATTATTAGCCCCTATGAAAAATCTTCAGACAGAATCTAACAGTCCCCCAAGTAGATTCCAAAACGACCCAGTTTTCCCCATTTGGCATTTGCTTACCTCACCACCCTCGCCCCACTCCTCATTGCCTGGGCCCCCAATCCCTCCCCATCCCTCCTGTCCAATTGGCTGCCTTCTCGCTTTCCCTGCCTTGGAAAGTTGCCTAATTCCAGGGGATATTTTTTTTTTACTCCTTCGCCTTCCAAGAAAAATAAAATAAAAAAAAAAAACAGAAGAAAAGAAAATACTTTTACTCTTTTTTCTAATACTAAAACTGTCTTTTGACCTTCCAAGTGGAGTTCAGTTAAGTCAAATCCTGGATGTCACATCTTCAGATCTTATCCTCGATGATTTCTCATATGCTTGATATCTCGGGAGAAAGTGATGTCCTGTTACGATCACAAATCAAATTAGAAAATATATATATATATATATATATAAAGATATAGATATATCAACGTAACACAAACATGTACATTGCAATCACCGATGCTTTAATGGACCAGCTTTTTCGCAGCAAAGATCTGTAGAATTAGAATATGTGCCTAACTATTATGACCACACCCCACCCTGTTGACCATCAATTATTTGGAAGGTATCTTAATAATTGCGATCTAAAGAAATTTGTATGGGCTTCCCTTAGCTAGCAAGAAGATGAGCTTGACTTGGAATTTAACAAACACCTGCCTTATGTGGACTCTGTTCACTTCCCAATTCCATCATTGCTTCTTTGAATTCTAAATTTTTCAAAGGTTTTATATTAGACGAATCTATGGGTGATCAAAAAGCAAATAGCAGTGTCATACAATTTCTTGCTTTCCATACTAAACCATTTCAAACCATGCCGACCACTCTTGGCCTAGCTAGGTCGGTTTGGCCCTTGGATTTATCCTAGCTACCAATCAATAGTTTATCATGATATTTCCACTAATAATAATAATAAGAAACACGACTAATAACCAGAAAAATAAAAAAGGTGAAGGAGGACTGTGGTTCTAACTAGACTTGAAGTCATGAACGACCTGCTCAGGGCCCATGCCATTCTCTTGTTTAAAGATAGATAATCCTGAAATCCCACTGTATTCGACAGCTTGGATGGGGCACATTTCATCAATTAATTAACGCCCTTATTTAAAAAATTGTTTTAAGAAGAAATGGTTGGGACTCAAGGAAACCACGTCGCAACTCAATCATACTCTAGGAACCAGACTAACGCAATTTGGCCACGTGCCAGGTGGTCAACCTCCCTGCACTTGCTAATTATCAATTGTTTGTTAATCTGTCTCATTAGAAGCAGCAGCAAACTCAAGTAGAAAGCAAACAGGCAAAACCTCAATATTTTAATACTTCCTCTTAAATAATTAATTAAGATTACGATGATGATGAAAATTTTAATACATGGGGCTGCTTACCATGTAGTTTGAATTATGGGACTGAGAGTAAAACTGGTGGTGGGTTGGCCCCTGGCTTGACACCGACGAGCTATCAGGCGTGGATGGCTCGGACTCATCGAGCTGGCACTCTAGGTTCACCCCAAATAGCCGCAGCAGCCTCTTTGGGTTCCCAGCCGGTGCTTGATTTTGAGCAATGCTTCCTGCAAGTGTATCACAAAACACATGCTCCCATGTGAAAATCCATCCTCTTATCTTTTAATTCTTTCTCGTTTTTTGGTGGATAAATGATAATCCACCATCTTAGCTCATCTCTACCTTTAATTAAACAAAAAAATGCCAGTAGTACAACTCATTCCTCATCCACTTATTAATTTGACATTTTCTCTGTGCTTCATTCCAATTTCAGTGAAAAGAAAAGGGGTGATAAGAATGGGAAAGGTATTCATTGCCTGCAACGATTGTAAGAAAAGGTTTCTTAATGTCTACCAATTAAAATGATAAGGTAGTGGTAGCAAAAATCATTTGGAAAATCGTAAATTACTATGAGTATGTATGGTAATTTGTGGCGCGTGACATACAACCCCAAGTTCCAAAATGAAAAGCCTTACGCAACAACACAAGCACATTGCTCCCATGTAATTGGAAAGTGTCTCTCACGCACTTCTATGTGCGATAAATTCCCAATCTTACATTATTCACATATATTTTAAAAATAAATATATATCTTTTTATCAAAACCCTTTTTTTAATAATAATAAAAAAAAAATAAAAAGATAGAGTTTACAATGTGACAAAAAAATATACCTGCATGAAGACAGTCAGGTTGGTATGGCACATTAGCCCCATGGCCTTGAATGTGCCCAAGATAAGGATGCCCTTGATGCAATCCCCTACTCCACCCTTCATTGCCACCGCCAACACCGCTATTCCCCATGGCGGAGTTGCCAGCATCCGCTGCCGCCGCAACTGCCACTGCTGCACCGCGCCTCCTCCACCCTATAAACAACCTATCACCCTCCGTACGGTGTCGTTCGAATAAAATAACGTCACCAGCATCAAGTTGCTTCTCCTTGACGTATCTGCTCCACCCTTTTGTCAACACGTAGCTTTGGCTGCTGTTCCAATACGAGTAACGGAAACGCCAACACTTGCCCGACTCGTCTTCGAAACTCAGTAGCAACCCTTTATCACCCGAGTCACCGCCGAGTGGGAAGTATTTCTCTGCATGTTGTTTGGGGATAACAAGCCTGTTCAGCTTGCCAACGTCACTCGGGGTTAAGGGTTTTTCAAACATGGGTTCTCTTTCGTGGTCTAACGGGTTTTCATGAGGGTTTTGGTTAGGGTTTTGGGTGTTGTCAATGGAGGTTTGGTCGTCCAGTTCTTCGTCTTCGTCTTGGTTAAGGTTGAACTTGCGGGAAGGGTGGTTTGAGGGGAAGAACATGGAGGGATGGAGAGGGTGGTCTTGGGGATTGTTGTAGGAGTTTATCCAAGATTGATGAGGGTAGAAATGAGAGGTCCAGGGGGAGTTTTCAAGGGTAATCGAAGGCTTGTGAAGCTTTGAAGAAGGGGAGTTTTGGGTTGGTTCCATGAAGGATTTTTTTTTTTTGGTTTTTGCTTTTGTATTTTTTTTTCTTTGTTGATGTTGTTGTCGTTTGATTGTTGCTGCTCAAAGTGGGTTTATGGACATTCGAGAGACAGAGAGAGAGAGAGAGATAGAGAGAGAAAGATGGCTGCTTTAGTACAGCAGAGAAACTGTAGAGAAAAAGAGGGAGGGGGATGGAGTGGGCTGAAAGAGGCGTGATGATTATGGGTTTGATGTGGAAACTGTGGAAACTATTTGATGTAGCTAAAAAGATATGACAATGAGAGAGAGAGAGAGAGAAAAGAAGGTAAGGGGGAATTGTAAGTACGAGAGTACTTTAAGGTTTTGCGTGATGAAAAAAAAATTCAAACATTATATATACTCAGTGTAATTTGATGAATATGTTTGTTTTTTTTTAAAATTTTTCTTATTTCAGTAGATCTACTCTTGCTCTACTTGCTTAATGGTACTAGTACGTGCTTTGCAGTTTCAGGTCTTGGAATTGAATGATAAGTTATGTCTGTCTATTGAAAAAGAAAAAAGCCAAAGAGGTGTCAGATTTCACTTCCTTCACCTTACTTTTCCCTTCCACTTTTATCCATCATTCAATGAATTGGATTTGGATATAAGTGAGCAAGGAAGTAATCTCCCTGCAGAATATGCTAAGAGGGTCAGGATAAAATACACGTTTTAGATGAATTTGGAGGGAAAAAGAATAAAAAATGTGTATATATATATGAAGAAAGAAATATCTGGCATAGGATAATGTTAAATCACAATCATAGACATTGTTGGGATTAGAGCAGTTACACTTGAATTCCTTTCACGTACTTTGCCTACAAAAACACTAGTAGTTCTGAAATTCACATTTCCAATCCTGTGAGATATATAAATAGTATATGTTCTGATAAGAATTGCTGAATTCGGCAGAACATGTATCCGGATGAATCTTGTGAGAAAGAAAAGAGATTCCAACAGGGTGATTGGTGAATAAATTTTGTGCAAATGAGAAACACCCCATGTTACTACATTGGCAAGCAAATCAAAGGGTGGGGCCGAACCTGACGCAACATGGGTAAATCAGGTTGGCATCCAGCGGCAGCCCAAATAGGAGGTGGAGCAGATCTTTGGTAATATTAGGGCACATGGGATCTTTCCCTTTGCCTGTAAAAGGGATTTTGTATCATTTCCAACAGTGAAAAATCTCATACTACATTGTAAGCTGACAGAGAAGAACATGCTTGTTAGGTTTATATCCAGTGAAAAAGAGTATAGTAAAAATCAGTGAAAGAAACAAGTTTGTTTTGTTAGAAAGTAGTGAAAGGATTAGGGAGACCTGACCCTGAGCCCAGGAGTGGTCCGTCCGCCCTTTGTTGTGTTACATTAGGTGAATAATTTGTTTTTTTCTTTTCTTTTTGGGTCTCCCATGAATGAAAAGAATAGTATTTGTGTCACGTGCATGACAGAATTATTGATGTTTGGCCATTCCTAGTTTTAAAAAGGAGTAAGGGAAGGAACCGAACCGATTGGGGGGACTCTGAAAAAAATCCAGGGGTCCCTTCACTTTCCAATGAACAGAGAGATAGATGAGATAAGATTTGTCCAATTGGAAGGACCCTTCTCTCCCTTTTCGCTTAGTCGTGTTTCAATCCTCTCCTCTAATTGCAGTCTCTCTCCTTTCCTCCCATCATTAAAATCCCTCTCTCATCTGGGTGTCTCTCACTCTGTTCTCTTTTTTTTTTATTATTACCATTATTAATTTCCATTATGAAACTCTTTTTCTCATTTCATTCATTTATTTATGCAGTTGCCTACGTCTGCTTTCCGAGTTTGAGACAAAAACCCACCTCAATTTCCAGGTAGATTCAGACGCCCTTTTCATCCCTAGAAAAGGGCGGGACTGGTTGTTAACTTAAGTACGTGTTGGGAACACACACATCTGTATATATATTACAGGCTGTTGTGTTGTTCAATGCTGTGATATAAATATAAATATATATATTGTCTACTACATCCAACATGTTTATGTCATCTTATTCACTGTCTAGTTACTGCAATCCTCAAATAGGTTTACAATATGTCAGCCATGAGCATTTTTGTCTTAATCATAGATGGATTGTACACTCTCAATTTTTAAATAAGTCGTCTAAATTCAGTTGAAGACATGCCTAATTAACTTAAAAACAATGTTACCAAAGCCTCAAAATTTCTACATATAAGTTACCCAAAAGTGTCGTTTAGCCAAAGAACAGGATTCCTTGAATTTAAAGCAATTAAAACCAGGTTGATGATGGAATCTGCCGAGTAATTGGTTAACTTCACATGCTATGTAACAATGCTGAAGGCCTAGTAGCCTGTTATTGTAATAAAAACAAAAATAAATATGTCCATATCAATTCCCAAGCAAAACCACCTGGTTTTGTAAGACCAATCCGTGAGATTTCCTCACAAAAGTACATCACTCTCTTTCTGCAATAAACACTAATCCTCCATAATTGTTATCTTGTCAAAATTTAGGAAGGCCAACATTTTTTGTTAGGTTGTGAGAAATGTTATGATTGGTTTTCCCTGAAATATATTGTGTATATATTGTTTCAAAATATCAAGATTAAATTAAGTTATAGCAGTCGATGTTCCACATATATTTGTTCAATGGAGCAATGTACCAAAGGGACAAGAACAATGCACCATAATCTACAGATTGATACGCATCTCATTGGCAATGATATATGAATATTATCAACAAGCAAATTGGTAAATTAATAGCTAAGGTGTGATAGCTGTTCATGCTTTCTTTGATTACAGATTGCACTTAGGATTAATTAAATCGAATTTTAATTTATTTCAGATTGGAGTTTTCAACTTTCAAACATAGAATATACAGCTAATTAATTACTCTAATAATCATGAAATTAACAACATGGCTTTTTTATACTTCTCTTGTAATTTAATAAGATTTCCACAGGGTTGAGGTTGGAGATTCAATTAATCACCTAATATAAGGGAGTAAATTGCATGAATAAGAGGAGAGAAGAAAGGATACATCATATTTTGAGTTACACAATTCTTTTTCTAAGAAAAGACAGATGTTGCAGCTGTTAGAACGGTGTGATAAATTACACCTAAGCATGGTTTACACACGTGCATTTGGCATGAAGAACTTGCTGCTACTGCAACAAATTAATTAATTGCAATTGCATTCCAGTAACTTTCCTATTGATTTTTGATAACGATTGTTGAATGCCAAATTTTCGCAGCGGGTGTTTAAATCAAAGCTGGTCAATTTGTTGGGAGAACAGTTTGATTTGGATTCTCTGATAGGTTTCTTTTTCCAATAGAAGCATGCTAAACACATTTTGAAGCCGAAATCAACACCCCCCAACATGTAGCAAATTGCTTAATCGAAAAGGAAAGAATAGAAAACATCAGAATGGAGTCGTTTTGGCCTAACCTTTTCCTCATATCTGACAAAACAAAGGGGAAGGGGGGGACCAGATGTAGTCTTCAGATTGAAAGTTACATGTATTGACATGGACATTAAATAAATTAGGGTTCAAACACAAATTTCACATACCCGAAAATAAAAATTTCATCAGCCACTATCTCGTTTTAATTAGGGTTGAGATCTCTCTATTACTTTTTAATACATTTTTATATATCATGGTTCACATATGTAAGATAATTCAATCATGATTATTCACATATAAATGATAATTGAAAAATAACAAACAAAAAAGTAACCGTCAAAAAATCATGATGTCTTGTTATTATATATTTGGATGTTGCAGTATAGTTGATATGAATTTCATAGATGAAATAAAAAGTAATTAAGATTCCTCCTAGGCCCTGAACCGGAATGTTTTCAGACTTCCCAATGCTATAAAAGTGGGGACCGTATTTCAATCTGATATGGGGAATTAAAATAGGGTTGAAACACAAATTGATGGAGCCGATAAGTTGGACTTGGTCTAGATGGGGCTGAATTTTACAGCAAACTTTTGTTTTGTTTGGACTTTCATTTGTATCCACACATCGACTGCCTGCCCAGGAGGTCGGTTTTTGATTCGAAAGAGTTTGTGGATAAAACAACTTGCTTTAGAGTAACATGCTGGCTAAGCCATTGGCTAGACGGTGTTATTTGGCATGGTTTGTACGAGGCACAGACCCATGCAAACAAAATTCGACTTACCTAGAGTTCAAAAATTTTGAATCCTTCTACCAAGATTTTTGCTTTTGTGTCTTAATTTCCTCTTCTAGTGTACACTTTTATATATCCAAGTGTTTCATCACTTGATATCCTTGTTCTTTAGTGTGGTCATTTGTTGTTTGGGGTACACACTTTCTTGTGCGTAAGTTTGGTGGGTAGAAAGATGTGGAATTGATACCTTCTTTTTCAAGATAAAAAATGCTAATTAAATTCCATCTACAATATTCCTTCTTTAATATGCACATTAAGTTATTAATGAAAGGTTATATGGTTAGTTTTTGCAAGGGTACTAATCTAGGATAAAACCCTTGACCATATGGAACCAACAATCCTAATGTTTCAGGTAATACATATATATACATATATATAGATGTATTGGATAGACGTTTCATTTTCAATAAAATTAGTAGAACTACGGATTGCTCTCAAGAACGATACAGCTCAATTAGTAACTCAAATTTAATCTTAATTGAGTTGAATGGGTTCTCTACGTGCGAGAATGCAAAAAAGAAATAATGTATTGTTGTTTCACCAATAATAATTGGCTTCTCCATCATCAGAAACATTATTGAAACTCGAAGTTGATGAAATTATACATTAAAAGCTTTAAGTTGTGAAATTCATGGAGTAGGGTTTAACTTGAACGTGGTAATTCCTTTGTCCAAAAATAAAAAGAACTTGACTATTCATTCATAATTGTGCGAATACTGAAATCATGAAACTATACAGGTGTAGATTCATTTGCTTCCTCAATGCACCAACCACCAAATTTCAGCTGACACCAACTAATTCCATCCAAAAGAATATTGTAATTAAATTGGATTAAAGAATTGTTTAAAATCTCAACTCATCACCCCCTCTGACCACTGCCCGATTACTCTATGCAGCATCTAAATGTTTAAATCAGGGCAACCCATCTACACCCTTTAAACGGAAAAAAGAAAAATGTAAATTAATCATTTAATCTATTGATAGCGAAAACGAACAAAAGACTACTAACAGTTTCCCGAGGCAATGCCAAATTGCCGACGTCTAATTGTCTATGACATGCTCAAAAGCAAACATCTCCTTTACACTCAGAATCAAAATCAGAGATAAGCATTCGCTAACACTTTTGATAATAAAATATTAATAAAAACTATATGCAAGATGCCACGTGCCTCTTTTTGCCTCTACCTGTCTGGCCTGCCCAGAAATGGTTCGTGAAATCAATTTCCCATTCATCAGAAGGCGTGCATGGGCTCTAATCAGATGGGTCCCATCAGATCAAAAAACTATAATGGTACCATATTTTTTTACTTCTTGGAAATGTACCCGACCAGATCAGTGACCTGACCTCAGTTTCGGCCCGAACCTTTATTATTGCTACCTGCTGCCATGCTTTCTTTTTACCTTGCTGTGGAGGAAACAAAATGAGAGGTGATGATGATGGTAGGAATGATGCAACTGCGTTAATGACACGTGGCATGAGAGGTGCACAAGAAGAGCTGGGAGTGTGAGTGAGGGACCAGATAGAGAAGGGCTAGTGGCATGGTCCCACGTGTATGGGCCCATCGACCAGCAATTTGTTAACAGAGTGGACAAAATTTCCCCTGGTTTCCGAAAGGATCCCATTGACTAGGCCCTTCCAGGCTCCAGGCTCTCTTTTGGCACATCGCCACTGTGACAGCACGCTTTAAGGAACTTTGTAAACATTTGTCACTTCTCTAGCAGCTTTTTAACGTAACTGAATTACTGATCCTACCCGAAGAAAAAAAATTTGTTTGTATGTGAGAAAACTTGAGTTAATTAAGCTTGGTGTGGAAGTGACTGTGATAATAACCCTTTTAAAGTTAAGTATTAAAAGTTAATAACTATTAGAATTTTTCATATTATGTGGGTTACTATTAATTAGTAATTTTAATATAATAAAATAGATTGATAATTTAATCTTATTATGAAATCAAACATGAGAGTCCAATTAATATTACCGTGATCTGTTAATTATAGGCTTTACATTTCTTATTCGATCAATGTGGTTTGACATTGTACAAGCCTTAACCTAGTAAACCTTTAATAAGAGGCTTCTATTATGGTATTATTTATATATTTGGTTAAGTCCCTGCATCAATTCTAACAAACTGCTCATTGTGTGTTGTAAAAAAGAAAAGAGCGAAAAGGAAGATCTATCCTCTACCAACAGTTCTCTAGACAACAAGAAATGACAACCTTAACAAATCAAATAAGTTCGCAATTATAATTATATGACTCTTGTTGTTCTAATCTTTACACATGGATTTAAGGATTAAAAACTTACATATGGTATCAGAGCTAGGGGTGAGCAAATAGAAATCGAACCGAACCGAAATGAGTTCGATTTTTCGGTTCAATTATTCAGTTATTTCAATTAAAATAGTTCAGTTAGTAAAATTATTTCGGTTCGATTTTGGTTAGGAAAAATTCTAACCAAACTAACTGAACCTAAATAATGGTGTTATAGACATTTTACATGAAAAAAAAATCTTAAACCTAGATGCCTAATTTCATCTCTTTGGTTCCTCTTTGGCTCTTTGGCTCTTTGCCTCTTTCTGCCGTCTCTCATCTCCAGCTTCCATACTCTCCCCTCTCCAAACTCTCCAATCTCTAATTCTCCATCGTATTCTCTTCCCCTTCTCTCATCCGACCCATCAGACCATCTCCATTCTCCATAGTCTCCTCTAGTGTTCGCCCTCTTCTCTTTCCCTTCTCTCATCTTTAGCAAGTTGTTGTCCTGTCATCCTTCACCCTTTGTCCCTTCCCATATCAAGTAAGTTTTTATGGGTTTTTTGTTCCTTTTCTCTTCCTTTTGTTCTATGTTCTCTTAGCTTGAAATTTTGTGGATTTGGTCAATGAATTTTTTATGTTGGTTTTTCACTTTTTACTGCTTAAATTTTTTTGGATGGTGGTTTGTTGCTGCTGCTATTATTTTGTGTAAATTTGGCTTATTTTTTTGGTTTGTTGTTGGCAGCAAATTGCTGCTTTATTTATTGCTACATAATCACTTTTCGGATAACTAATTTTTTAAGAAAACGGAGGAAAAAGAAACAGATGGGTGGGTTTTGAACCTTTAAAGCCTAATTTCCTACCAGCAACAAATGCCTATTGTCATTCATATGGTTTAGACACATCTTGACATAAGCTTGCAGCTAGAGAATGGTCATTGTCAGCTTGTCTCATTGCGCTTTCTTTTACTGTGACCTATACGAAAAAGCTACTGCTAGTATCTAACAATACGGAATATCTTACTTTTTGAGTATTTTAGTATTACTTCTATAGTATCCCATGGTCTTTTTCTTGTGTAAAATATGCAACCCTGGTTGGTTTGTATCCCTTATTTTTTCCAACTTAAGGGCTGAACTTAAGATATTTTGTATGAGGTCAGTAAAGTTTAGAAATCACCTGAAAACCCATGTTCTTAGATTATCTTGATATAAAGAGGAGACCGAGCAAAGTCAATGCACATCATTGACGGGCAATAAAGCTTTGGGTGTAATTAAAAGGGGTTTTAATATGTAATTTAAGATTTTGATTTCTGATAGACATGATTTATCTAGTTCTAGATAATTATTGATTTATGTCAATTGCTTGGTAATTTGCTACTTTAATCATCAAGCATGCCAATCCTTAAGAAATATTGTATATTATTTTGTTGAATTTTGACCGAAAGAGAAGGGATCGATGAGCTAAGATCAGTGCTCATATGCGTTTGATTTGTTCTCTAACTCAAGCTTTTATGGTTGAATTTAAAAATGGAAAAACAAAGAAGAAAGGAAGATAAAACTAGGCTTTCTAAAAGCATCCAAAACAATATTAATAAAGTAATGAGCAAGGCATCTTATTCAACACCAAAGGGAAGCTCAAACTCATACTGCTTAATAAGATTCTGTTTTGCATTTGTTTTTTCTTTTGGAAATTTATAGAAAAATGGGAAGCGAGAGAGAGAGCAAAAGACACGAACAGAACATGCGGATTTTTAATTTTATATTTTGTAATCTTTTTTGTAGACAATTAATTTTGATTCATACATGGGGAAGTCATTTATTTTATTTTATTTTCATAATTGAAATGATTAAGTCTTTTCAATTTTGAGACCATATTGATTTTTAGTCTTTGATATTTCAAAAGAGATAGTGACTAGTAGATGGATAAGAGGAAATGGAAGAATAGAGGCAAAGATGTCATTGATTATATTTACTCATTTTTTTTATATGTGCTATTAGTGATAGATTCTTTAATAGATTCTTCATTCTTGAATAATATATTTGCTAATTAATTAATTCTTTTTGAGTGATAGGTTGAAGATTTCAATGATAAGTGAAAGCGAGAATCCAGCTCTTGCTCCTAGTGATGCTACTACGCAGCCTACGCCTATTGGCATGCCGTCATCGTCACCAACACCAACTACACAACAAACCATAATTTTTACCAATGAAAGTGATGCTGTCAATTCTAAGAAACGGAAAGCACTTCCACCGAGGTCTGAAGTTTGAAAACATTTCACCAGATTCGTCAATATTAAGGTGAACAAAAAGGTAGATATAATAATTTTGATAGGGTACTTTCTGCTAATACTAAATATAATGGCACAACTTCATTAAAGAATCACATGAATTATTGAAAAAAGTTTCCTAGTTCTACTAATGATTCTACTCAAATTGAGTTAGCTTTTCAATCGGACGACGGGTCAATAGGAACTTGAAAATTTAGTCAAGAAGCCATTAGAAAGTCTCTAGCTAAAATGATCATCAGAGATGAGTTACCTTTCAGATTTGTAGAAGGGGAAGGATTTAAGGAATTTGTGTCAACTTCATGTCCTAGATTTATTGTGCTATCACGATAGACTATTGCTAGAGATTGCTATAACTTTTTTGTTGATGGAAAGAACCATTTCAATCATATATTGAGAACATCTTCTTTTAGAGTTTCTCTGACCACAAACACATGGACATCAATTCAAAGAGAGAATTATATGTGTCTTACGGCTCACTTTATAGACAATGATTGGAAATTGCACAAAAAAATTTTAAACTTTTGTCCCATTTATAGTCACAAAGGTAAAGCCATTGAGAAAATGATTGATAAATGTTTGTGTGATTGGGGGATTAGTAAGGTTTTCACTATTACTATTGATAATGCTAGCTCCAATGATGTTGCAATGGCATATATGAAGAAAAAATTGAACTTATCATGACAGTTTTTTAGAAAGCAAATTTCTACATATAAGATGCATTCCACATATCATTAATCTCATTGTCACTGATGGATTGAAGGAAATGAATGATTCAATTGCTTGTATTAGAGGGGCAATTAGATACATGAGACAGTTACGTACTAGGTTAGCAAAGTTTAAAGAATGTGTTGAGTCTGCAAATATACAATCAAAAAATTTATTGTGTTTGGATGTTAGTACTCGATGGAATTCTATTTACTTGATGTTAGAAACAGCTCAAAAGTTTAAAAAAGCCTTTAATTTATTAAAGGAAGCCAATTCTCAATATAGAACTGATTTGTTGATGGGAGATGGGATACCTGAGCATGAGGATTGGGAAAATGTTAAGAGGTTGAATCTTTTCTTGAAACATTTTTACACATTCACAGTAAAAGTTTCAGGTACCTCTTATGCCACTATTAATACTTTTCTAGATGATATTTGTGGTGTTTATTGCATTTTGAGAGATAGACAAAGAATCTTGATGTTGAGTTACAAATAATGGCAAAGAAAATAAAAGAGAAATTTAATAAGTATTGGGGAAATATAGAAAAAAATGAATAAGTTGCTTTATATTGCCTCTATTCTTGATCCAGGGAAGAAACTTGTATTTGTAGAGTTTTGTTTAAAGAAAATGTATTTGAATGAGCAGGCTTCATCAATTTGTGTGAGTTTGAAAAAAACAATGGAAGAGTTGCTTGTTGAATACCAAAATAACGTACAACCTCCTCTTGAGAAAGTTGGTGACAGTAGCCAATCCCAAGTGAGCCAAATTTCAGAATTTGATGATGATATTGACTTCAGTGCTAGTGTTGCACTTTTGAATGAATTTAAAAGATACAAGATTGCACTTGGTAGGGAAGAGGATAAATCAAAATTAGAAAAGTATTTGAGTTTAAATGAGCCTGATGCAACCGATAGCGATGACTTTGATGTTCTCATTTAGTGGAAACTCAATAGTCATAGATATCCTACTCTTGCCCTACTGGCGTGTGATGTATTAGCGATTCCTCCATCCACAGTTGCTTCGGAATCAGCTTTTAGCCCTGGTGGTCGTGTGCTTAATGCATATAGGAGTTTTTTAATGCCTAAGATGGTGCAAGCCCTTATTTGTGCTCAAGATTGGCTATATGGACCTTCCTATTATCTTCATGACATTGAGAATGATTTGACAGAGCTTGAGAAAGTTGATGAAGGTTAGTATTTTATTTATATCATCATTTCATTTTTGTTGTTTTAATTGTTACTATATTATTGCTTTATTTCTTACTTTCTTGTTTATGTATTTTAAAGTTGTCAAAGATTGCAGTGGACAATGTACTTGATAATCTTTAAGGTAATCAAGTAATGTACTATTGTTATCTATTGCCTGTTTGAATTTATAAAATATTAAACATGTTCTAACTTATTTTTTTTTAATCTATTTGAAACTAACGGTTTTTTATTTATTTTTTTCAACTTTTAAGGGTACAACCTATATTTATGCTAAGTTGTTCATAGCATCAAGAGGCATTTGGGGAAGAAGTAATCTTTAGAGGCACTTGGAAATGATTTACTGCTATTTGTTGAAGACTATTAGTTGTTGTTTTTATCTATTGTTAAATACTGTTAATGATTTGTTGTTATTTGCTGCACATTTTACTATTAGAAACCTAGAAGTGTCTATTTCGCATTAACTGGTTGTATATTTTGTCATAACACTCTTGTCTATGTCAGCATAAACTGTATTTGATTGTAATTGTCTAATTTATTTCCTTAATTATTGTTTACAGTTTGTTGGGTTGCTTAGGAATGGATTGTATATAATTAGTTTTATAAATACATTCCATATTTGAAACACTAAAAAATAAACTATGAAATTAATTTAACTCAAATTTATTACGAGCTCAAGTCAATTTCTATTAATTGGGTTTGACTCTTTTTTTTGAAAAATAAATTTTATTTGAACTAGAGTTTATGCCAACTGAAGTCTTTATACAAATACTTCTTTTAGCATATAATAACTGGTCCGTGTTTGATCATAAATCATACAATTATAAAATAACTACCGCTTTAATTCTTATGGTAATTTTTCAATCTTAAGTTGAGCTTAAAAACAAAAAAGAATTAGCTTCCTACCCTCTACCCCAAAGGAGCCCATATTTAATAAAAAAGAAACTCAGCACTACACCTCTGTCACTCCCCTATACTATTTTCCTCCAGCCATTAAAAGCCATTTTCATTCATTCCTTTTCATAGTATAACATTTAGACCAACATTTACTTGTATGTGATCTTGTGATTAAAAATATTATTGTAAAGCAATTGAAAGAAAAGAATTTATTTTATTATTATAATTTTTGAGGTTATTTTTAATATTTTATAATATTAATTTATTTAAAAAATACAACATAAATAAATATGTACAAACAAAAAAAAATTGTTGAGTTCAGTTTTTGGAAACCAAACCGAACTAACCAAATTAGTTTGGTTTCAGTTAGTTCGGTTAGTTATATATTTTGGTTCAGTTTCGGTTATTTTTAAATAAGAGTTCGGTTAGTTCGGTTATTAGATATCCAATAACTGAACTAACCATTTGCACACCCCTAATCAGAGCCTATTGTGTGAAATTATGACCCAAACAAGTTAGCGCTTTTGTTGCTTGCAATTAATAGATCATTTTGGTATAAAACTATTCTCTTAACTTGTACTGTAGAGATAGGAATTGAATAATGATATTTAGGGTTTGGACATAGAACTCAAAAATCTAGTTCTTGATGATTAATCTTGGTTTTGTAGTTTTTGGAGTATTTTGATGCATGGTTTTGTAAAATTAGGGTTTAATTAAGATTTGGTAATTTTGATTACATTAAAATGAGCTTAAAAATCATAAAAATAAAAAAAAATTCAAACTAGACCCAAACGAGTTGGACCTTGCTCTAGTCGGGTCGAGTCAACCTAATAGAAGGTAAGAGAAGCCTTAGTTTGTTCTTTGTATAAAGCCCATGCGCATAGGGCAACGTGTGTGGGAATAAAAAAGTATGAGTTTGGCCCCATTTTTCTAGTAATCATAGAATTTAATTTTAGATATTTTTAGATTTTTTTCAAAATTTTATGTCCTTAAAAATAATTATTATTTAATATTTATGCATTTTTATGCATGCTCATATTTTTTTAATTTATATGCATGCATTCTTTGAATTTATTTTATTAGGACATATTTTGACATGCCAAGAGCTTGTTCGCAATATGTTTTCTCCTTAGATTAACCTCCAAACATTTGTGCTCTTGGTTGCAATTATGTGCATAATTTTAGAGAATTATTTAAGTTCAAAACATTAAGTTTTAATGCAACTTATACTATTTAGGATCAAATGAGATACATCTAGACTTAGTATCTTAGTTGGAATAATCCATGGCATACATTGAGTTAAGTATGCAAATTAAGGATTTTGGGAAAATTGTAAATTCCCGGTTTGAGAAAATTTTTTGTTGATTGATTTAAGTGCTTGGCTGCAAAGTGGCTCTTTTACTAAAATTGATAGATTATTTTTTTGAGCAAAAGGTTACGAGATGGTCTTTAAAATGCTTTATACAATTGCCTGCCCAAAGGGATTATTACGTGAGGTAATTTAGAGTGGGACGCGAAGCATTATGGTTGAGAGTATACCGATCTACAAGGTCTGTCTGCCCACAAGGGATAGGTTTTTTGAAAAGTAAGATATTCTCATATTAGATTTATGTGAAGAATGCCTATCAACATATCATGCTCTCTGCCCAAAGGGGAATCTACGATGATGCACCTAGACTCTAGTTATTTTTTAGTACATCATGGACTGTTGCTAATTGTTTTGCCTATTAACTAATAGTTGCATTTCTTGTTTTCAACAATGACTTTTACTATGAACAACAATCAAGCTATTGTTGAGATTCTTAATGACCTTAATTATAAAACATGGAATGAAAATTTGTATTTTACCTTGGTCATGAGTAATATAGACATAGCGTTGTGTGTTGATATGCATACGGCCCTTACTGATGAGAGTACCAATGAACAAAAAGAGTTCTTTGCTAAGTGGGATAAAGTGAATCACATGTGTTTGCATGCCATTAAAAGAACTATTTCTGAGCCTTTGTTAAGTGGGTTGCAGCAGATTGAAATTGTTAAAGAACTTTATGAGGCTATAATTGAAATATACCAAAAATCCAATAATTCAGAGGTTGGGAATCTTATGAATGAGCTTTTGAGTATGAGATATGATAGTGTTAGAGAAGTTAGGAATTTTATCATGAAATGGTCCACATTTATACCAAATTGGCTTTCTATGAGATCACCTTTCCTAACAAATTCATTGTCCATCATGCCCTTAATTCCTTACCCATTGAGTTTACCCAAATCAAAACTACCTATAATGTTGTGAATAAGGTTTGGAGTGTCAATAACCTTATCTTCAAGTGCATGTCTGAGGAAGAAAAAGTCAAGAAAGAAAAGAGCAATAATGCTTTGCTTACCATTAATTCCAAACATTACTATTGGAAGAATTTTAAGAAACATATGACGATTGTGTCAAATTCTCCTAACTAGGTTTAGGACAATAAAAGGCAAGGTAATGGTCAGACTAAAAGGGTAGAAGGCCCTAAAGCTGTCACAAAGACAGATGTTAAGTGCTTTTTTCTGCAAGAAGAAAGATCACATGAAAAATGAATGCCCCAAATATAAGTTTTGGTTAGAGAAAAGGAGTAAACAATAAGGCAAGTCACTAACCCTAGTTTGTTTTGAATCCCATTTTGTAAGCGTACCACCAAATTTGTGGTGGCTTGATAATGGTGTAATTGTTCATGTTCTTGTTACTATTACTTTGCAAGGATTCACAAGCAAACAAAAGGCAAGTAAGAGAGAGGCCAAGCTTAGAGTTGGAAACAATACCAAAGTAAATGCCAGTCATGTAGGAACCATTGGTTTAAATTTAGAGTCTGGTTTTGAACTTGTTTTAGAAAATGTTTTTCATTTACTAACATTTAGATGAAATTTGATTTCAATTTCTGTTATGGATAAACTTAGTTATTATTTTCGCATTGATAATGGAAAAGTTGACTTGTTTTTAAATTATAAAATCATTGAAGAGTTTAAGCTTAGTTGATCATTTGTATAAATTATGCTTAGTCTCTAATAATGAATATATTTGCATGAATGTTGAAAATACTATGTCTAAAATATCTTTTATTAAATAAAACTCTTCTTCATTGTGGCATAAAAGATTGGGTCACATTTCTAATGAGAGAATTGAAAGATTAATAAAAGATGGCATTTTACCTTATCTTGATTTTCAAAAGTTAGACACTTGTGTCGATTTCAAAAGTTAGACACTCGTAGTAACAACATTTTGAAAATTGTGCACATTGATATTAATGGATTTCTTACGCCCACCTGTGTGGTAACAAGTACTTTGTTACCTTCATTGATGGCTTTTCTTAATTTGGTTATCTTTATTTGATTGATGAAAAATCTGATGCTCATATAAAATTCAAAATTTTGAAAACTGAGGTAGAGAAACAATTATGGAAAGTTATCAAAATTGTTAGGTCTGACTGAAAAGGTGAGTGTTATGGCAAACATGGTACAATTGGACAGCACATGGGACCATTTGCTAAACACTTACAAGAGTGTGGAATTTTTGCCCACTATTTCATGCTTAGTAATCTTGAAAAAAAATGGTGTGGCTGAAAGGCAAAATCGCACTTAAGGAAATGATAAGGAACATGATGAGTAGAATTAACCTTCTAGAGTCTCTTTGGGGTAATGCTATTAAAATTGCTTTGTACATTCTTAACAAAGTACCTAATAAATCTGTTCCTAAAACACTTTTGAGTTGCAGATAGGTAAAAAACCTAGTTTGTACCATTTTTGTGTTTAGGGATGTCATGTAAAAGTTAGAATTTATAATCCTTTTGAAAAAAAACTAAACCCAGAATTACTCGTTACAATTTCATAGGTTACCCAAACCATTATAAGGGATATGGGATCTTTTTTACTACACATGAAACTAAAGTTGTAGAATCACAAATAGCAAAATTTCTGGAATTGGATGTTACTGATGGGGATATGATTGACATTGTTGATGGTAATGAGCTTATCAGACATGTAATCATTCCTCAGCCATCTTTACAAGGTAGTGTAGTACTTGTTGCCATTGAAAAATAAGATCCTGGGCAACATGATGCAACTTTTCCTCCTCAAGATCTTATTCTTACTCCCATTGATGTTCATCTTGTTCAGAAAATTGAGGTTGAAGTGCCCTTGAGATCTTCTAGGTAAAGGAAATTTGTCATTTTTAATGATTACGTGGCTTTTCTTGGAGAGAGTGATTATGATATCAATCATTTAGTGAACCCTATGACTTTCAGTAGTGCCAGTAATTGTTTCCAATCTACTATATAGACAGATACAATGAAAGATAAGATTAGTTCTATGGGTT